AAGATTGGAACCATGAGGCCTTTGGTCCCCTCCGTGTCATCAACGAAGATCGCGTAGCTCCCCGCACCGGTTTCGGCACACATTCACACCGCGAGTTCGAGATTTTCTCGTATGTTGTGAAAGGAGAGCTTGAGCAGTGAGCGGTCCTTTCAAACGATGCTATATTTCGGGAGCTTACCTTCTTCACAGCAAAGATTCAATGGGGAACACCGAAATCCTCAGGCGTGGTGACCTTCAGTTGACCTCTGCTGGGACTGGTATCTCGCACTCGGAAAAATGTCATGGTGGCAAAGAAGTCCACTTCCTTCAAATCTGGTCCCTTCCCGCTACCGCTCGTCTCCAGCCCAAATACTTCACTCGGCACTTTAGTGACGAGGAGAAGAAGGACACATGGGCAAGGATCGTTGCACCAGCATGGGAGGAAGGTGTGAAGAACGTCCGCGAAACAGACGGCCCCGCACCTGTGCAGAGCGCCCTCAGTCTTTACGCTACTCTCCTCAGCACTGGCAAGACTCTGGAACGTCCTTTCGAGGGCAAGAAGGGTTATATCCATGTCGTTCAGACCAGCGGCTACAACCCAAACAAGTCTCAAGGTGCGACTGTTAAAGTCAGCGGCCCGGGATACGAGGAGCTGGAGTTGAAGGAGGGTGATGGTGCCTACATCTTCGTTGGACAGAAAGGCAATGCCCTCAAGGTTGAGAATACTGGTGACAAGACTGCTGAAGTATTGCTCTTTGACCTCGAGTAGAACGGAACATGGTTGTGTGGAGGCTATTTTTCTCATAATATTTCTCTCTAATACCGCACTTGTGTATCCATAGTATTCATAACACCTAGATATTCCTTGGAAATTCAGTTTCATTCAATTATGAAAAGCGATGTCGTACAATAAGAAAAGCGATTGCTTGTCATTGGAGAACGCACTCCACATCACGTTCGTCACAAGCACGCTCGATGATTTTTCTCCCAATATTTCCAGAGTATTGCCGGGGTCGATACCGCAAATAACGGGCATAGAAGAAACATTCCCAGTATTGTTTATTGGACAAATACGTGGACGACATGAAAGAGCGATCATCGCTGATGATGAGCGATTCCTAGATCTTCGGAGGCCAGTAGACAAACAGCTTCGGAGTATCAGAGGAGATTGGCATCCCAATACCTAGATGAACGGAGAAATCAAAGAATGGATGTGTGGGGATTTTTAGCTTGGTTGCCACTTCTATCCGGGGTTATAAAGCAGTAGCTTCGAGATCCATCGAGTGGAAAGAAGCTGCATTTTTTCAGCACTAACACCACGGTAGCACGAAATGTCGGACAATGGCCATGTAGAGTAACGGAATGAATGAATGGCTTACGAGTACCGGAAACGGGGCTTGCCTAGACAAGGAAAAGTGATTGCCATAACTTTGGAACCACAGAGTTCATGTGCCAACGCTTATACTGCAATGATGGACATAATAAATGCATTACACATGATATGCGACGTAGGAGTTCGTGTGCCAAGAACGTGGAATCAAAGGCCACGTACTATGGGTGAATCCGATTCAATCCACAAACATCAACGATGCTCTTCCTTACCTCGTCAATACCAAATGGCGGCTTCATCTCTGTACTCGTAAGAATAGGCGGAAGGCAGAGGGGGGCAGCTTCATGGATATCTTTCCGGAGTTTCTGAATGACCATGGGGACGTCATTGGGAGGTATTGTGTCGGCCTTCGTGATGATTGATTGAAGAGTCCACGGTTGCGTTCCGCGAGGGGTGATTAATAGGCTGGACAAATGTGTAAGCATCTCCCTATCATGCGCGTTCAGTCCATGTTTCGCGTTGAAGAGGATGTACACCCGACGGAGTCTATTCATCGCCTATCGGTCAGCCAAATCTGTTTTTCTGGCTAATTGTAGCAAAACCCACTCTTTCCGCGTTCGTAAATACTCATCGAACATCGCTCCCCATTCAGGTCTTCCTCTGGCACCGTAACCAGGTGCATCGACGAGGATAAGTTTCCCAGGTTCGGCACCAACACGATAAAAGTTAAGTTGGCGCGTATGCCCCTATAGTAAACGTTAGAGAAGCGGCATTCTAGGGCTAATGATGCCGAGACAAACTCACGGCCCTCTTGCTAGTGTGGAGGAGAGAAGTTCGCCCTAAAACCGCATTGAAGAGAGAGGACTTTCCAACATTCGCGCGCCCTATGGGGTCCGTAAGTCCCTCGTGTCATGGGGAGAGTAGTACGACGCCATACCCGTCACAATGACCTATGTCAAGATGAGCATGGGTCAAAAGCACGAAAACGAATAGCGGACCTCTGGAAGCCCATGCAACTTGGGTATGTTGGTCGCAGACGCCGCGCCGGCAATGAAGTCTGCATCCTTGGCATTTGCAAATATCCTCTGCACCCTCGTTGAGTATTTCGCACTCCACACAAATGCTTTTTGAGTGGCCCGTGCGTGGAGAGAGGGTAAGAGGCAGAGAAGCGACATGGTCCCTCCCCTGGGAATTTCATTCCAGTAACCCAAAATAAGATAATTATGTAATTTCAACAAGATTGAAAAACACCTGCCTCGCCCGCAACTAGCCAACCAATATTAAAATGATCTGATACCCCAACAGAACTTCCCTGTTCTGGATACCGGCCATCTGTTGGTGCTGAAAATTATATACTCATACCCATGGTGTGGATCAAGTTACACTGTCACAATTTACCAACACTACGGATCGTCATCGTCTCCCTACCTCGTGTTGCCGACTCGGGAGACTCCCTTGCGCCCAGCCCGACCGCTACTCCAGATGAATCCCAAATCAAGGCTTTGACGCCTTGGCATAATGAATTACTGGTCACCTGATTACCCACACTCCGTCCGCAGTCTCGACGCTTTCCCATGAACTTCAAGTCTTGTGCAAAAATAACAAGGACAGCTGGTTCTATCGATGAGCTTCGGGCGCTCTAACGTACTTCTGAACGAGTCCGCTGGCTTCTAGCTGTGCTTGATCTCCGTTTTAGGAGCTCGTTGACAAGTTGCCAGTTGTGCTCAAACCCATTCCCACACCCACACCAACATGAAAACCCTTGACCAATGCGTCTTCCTCTACCAAGACTGTTAGCACCAATAGATATCTTGACGGTGATATCGTATCAAGATCTTCTTCATAGTGTCACATCCCTTTGTCAACATATGGGTGTAGTCATTCTAGTGAATAGGAGACGAGTGCAGTGCTTATTCACTACACCTCGCGGCCACAAGCAGGCACCAATGCCCATACAGCTTCTCGCTTTTCTTGGCCTCATGACTAGCTGCCTTTCAGCTCGCCTGATGACATCAGGTAGATACCACGCTTCGGCGACCCATTACGATCCTTGTCTACTGATCTTTATGAACGACGATGAATTCTCCTGTGATACATGCCTGACTACGCGATTCTGCCAAGACAAAGCAATGTACTTGGAAGTATCGAGATCAGTACTCGGATGTCTCAGCCCGGGTCTTCCTGTGTCCACACTCCCACGATCGACAGCTCAAATATATGACATATGAACAGAGGTCCTGATAGGTTCGTCGAGTATTTTTATTCGACGGGGGAAGTTAAATACGTATCGAATAGCCCACCAGCGTTCTGCAGCGCGAAGTCTCCGGGTAGACTTCCCGGACTTCCTTTGTTGACAGACGGAATTCTCTCCCTCCATTCGGAAGCCCAGAGACCCGTTTTAGACAGACAACCCAGCCTACTCACTGGATGCTTGCGTCAGTCACGACGGTACAGATTTTACAGCTCTCGATCGCTCCTCCAATCGTTGTGAGAATATCCCACTGAGTTGGGTAGGCTATTCTCAAACATGGAGTCGTCTCTTGCAACACGGTTGGATCATCCTGTGGCCGATGGATTGTCACACTCCCTGTCCCGGAAGACTAACGCCAATGAAGATGTCGAGATCTCGCTCTTTATGAGCCACCCTGGAAATAAATCTCCAAATCCCCGAGCCAAGAACAAGAGCCTGTATGACGTTATTAGTCAAGATGGTTCGTGGTTGATGCTCTCTTGGAAATTGTTGTAAAGCAGCCGCCTGGCTGCATGGTGTGCGAGCGCGATTGCGTCCGCTTTGGTCTCTTGCCTCGAATACACCAAATAAGTGGCGGAGATGACTACATTGTCACGGTAGGAGCTAAAGAAAGTAATTACAGCAAGTACGACTAAATATACCTATTTCCCCTTTTCCCACGCCAGCCAAGTAGGTACCTCTACATTGTAACGCACAAGCCGTAGGTCTCTTAAATCAAGGTGCTTGGGTATAATTAAATAATGAGAAATGGGTTTTCACAGTGTCACCGACATTATCCTTGGATCTAATGTGCCTTGCCGGGAAGGGCCTTCAAGCGATTCGGTAAATGTAAAGCTCCGGCCAAACCATCCCAGATGATACTTGTGGCTACAGTTTCGGCGCTCTGACAGTGATCATCTAGTACAGTTGTGACCTTAGTAGTGAAGCGATTAAACTACCATTTGGGTCGGGTATAAGTCCTCACTCCGCAGGTTATACCCCATATATGTATGTGCATCATAATTCTCATTGAGATTAGTTACCGCTCATTTATCCCAGACTACGGAGCCCCATTTCCTTTCAAACACATCTTGTGGCGCCTTCATTACAAGTATATTAACGATGCGGCGCGGGTAGTTTAATTGGTTCTGTAGAGACAATGAGCGCTATGCTAGTGAGGACTACCTCTGATGAGCTATAGCGCCAATCGAGTCTTGGTCGCTTATCTCGAGGGCAGCACCGGGCCCGGTTTTAATGATTCATTACATACATTTTACCGAATTACGAGTTTTCCTGTATCTGCGGGAATTTCTCTGGCCTTTGAAACGACATGCTGATGGCCGTCACAGAAACTTTCTTCCTGCTGCAAAATGACACCAAAAGGATTTTGTATCTCTGCTCCTTCTATTTCTATTTGGAAGCCCGATACAGGGACTACAAAATGTAGCGGACAGACCGCCCTGAACCCGACCCGGATTGAACGGATGACCTTGAGGAAACAGCTCACTCACTGGAATCTCACGCTCTACCACTGAGCTACGGGTCCTGGCTATTCACCGTAGACATGTGTACCCCCAAGACCCCTTCCATATCTGATTATGTCGTACCACAGGAGAAGTGGGTTTATAGTACTAGCAGTATCTTCCAGTGCATACAGCAAGACACAACATCACCCACCCATTACCTATTTATAATTGAACCCAACATACCACTTCCAAAAATAGTACTTCGCATCTGATGATCTTCGGAGCCGGAAACACAAAACAAACCTAATTTGTAGGTGTATACAATGGCACAAACCCAGGAAATACTCCCAGCATCCCGACATACCGGCGACAATCCAAACTATCTCCATTTTCTCTCGATCTACCATCGGTCATTTGGATTCGCTTCCACGGTCCGCCACTGTATCCTTGGTTTTGTAGTCCGTTCTTGCTCCGCCCAGACCCAAATACGGTCAGATCAAACGAACTTTCTGGCAAGTAAACAACGGGTGGTGATGGTGGTGTAGGAGTGGGAAGTATGTCACCCAACGTTTCATTTCTAGAGGGGTCTTTTCTGTTAACTTTGATTGGCAGAATGGCCGAAAGATCTGTAGTAATTATAGAAGCATGCCAAGTAAGATTAATGAAACCATAATTTGGGGGGTGTATTGGTATGGGAGGGACTTGATGATGCGCGCCGGAACATGATATAGGCTGATATGGGTCAGTAACAGCCGGCCGTCTCAGGGGTCGGCCTCATCAGATTAAAATCTGCTGGGAATACACCTTGTAGTCTGGGAAGAAACAATGGGCCCACTTCCTTATCGTTGCCATTCCTTGACTAGCATCACTTACATCTCATCGCCTGCAGCGTTACCGTGACATTTCACTGTCCACGAGCGTTGGCACTCTCAAATCATCAGATAACGGTTCCCGAGACCCTCATCATCAGTGTATTCTTAAGATCTTTCAGACAAGCCTTGGAGGTCAGGGGGGGGGTTTCTTTTAATCTGCTAATACAAGATGCAGATCAATGAACTTAGACTCTGTCTTCGCTTCTACAATTCATGAAGTCGGGCTGGCTCACGTTACTTACCCAGGCCATTCATACATCTCCAAATCGATAGAGCGCTACTGTTTGGGAATCCAGGTTAGTACGTGCCAACACGCTCCTTCTCTAACATTCAGGTTGCCTACATAGGCCTTCGGTGGTTCTGACGGTACACTGCATCCGAGCAGTGGCGCCTGCTAAGCGGCCATTCAAGAGCCAAAGCCTCCAGGACCAGTTTCGCGCTATTATCTACGAATACTTACATACTGAATTCGGCTTCGGAGCGACGTCGGATTATCCCCCAAGAAACTAGGGATCTCTGTCGGTGTCCGAGCTCTCTCAAGAGACTCGCGAGCCTTCGCCCTTCTATCGGAGCGAAGCCGGCTTTTACGATGGCAAGACGATCGGCAGCTACGGTAGCGGTCAGTCTTTTCCTCCTTCACGACAACAGAACAACGGCCGCAAACAACACCATTATTATGTTATCATAATATAGTTTCCTTGAACGCTCGGTCTCATGGCGGTCTACAAGAACAGTGCACACGATTGACGAGTGCTTGCCACCGGTGACACAAGAGTAATGAAATAGAAATCGCTGGCAATCCGGACCACTATGTTGGTACAAGGGAATGCGAGCAAGACTCCCGAGCGGAAGTCACTCTAAGATCACCGCAGCGTCCCTCTCCAATAATAACACCTCCAGTCGCATTATGTATGCAGCGTTTCCTGTGTCCTCCCCACACTTCCTCACGCCGCAGCTGCGCTCGATTCATACTGGTTGGTCCAGTCAACCCTTGACTATGGGACCAGGTGCTTGGGGGCCAGGTGAGTAACATGAGGATGATTAGACTTCAAGGATATCCCTGAATCTGACCAATGCGATAAATTGATAATATAAGGGAATGGAATTCGAAGCTAGCACTCAATATTCAACATCTGAACCTAAGTCTCTAGAACTTAATTCTTTGGGCTGATGATCGCAGTCATATTACTGTATTTTACTGTTTCTGCCAGGACACATTGTGTTCAATGCCACAGTGGCGTAGGCTTTACTAGCTTAACATTTTGCCTCCGGAACGGCCCCGATCATCACTCACGCCTCTTTCCAAATCAATCCAATCAACTCTGATTTTGGATCATGATTTCTGATAATCAATGGGGTCAGGACAATGCATGGTCCTTTGATATCGCCGAGATCAGAATCTATCCACTGCACGGATGTTTCGACCGTTAAATGGCATCAATTAGATCAACACGCGATGGTGGGCTGGCGGGCTGGCGGGCTAATGATAGGGCTTGGTATGATTGGCTATCTTGTGGGTGGGCTCTATAGGTTGCCCCAATCGTATTGTCCTAAGAACAGAACTGTAGGGACCTGCGAGGAAGTGACACTCCGTAAAAATCACAACATATGACAATATAGTACAGTCGACTGGTAATTAGAATCGCATTTACCTCCATCTTGGTGGGTGTCCCCCTAAAGGGCGCGAATGCTACATATGACTTGTAGCCTGACATCGTCCCGAGGCCCCATTAGCGAACACCTCAAGTGTTTATATTCCGATGCCGTCATTTCCGAGAAGACTAATGGAGATTCGAAAGGATGTTCAATGTATGTTATCAAACAAAAGGCTGATGTGTTGGAGATTGACCGGCGAATATGCGACTCTCAAGCTTTAGCCGCAATCCACAGGCGGCCCTAGTCCATCAACGTGAAGTAATACCCTTAGCCCGCACACCATAGAGGTGTCTATCCCATAGCCGGGCAACTTCAGGCCGCTCTCGCCCAACAATGACTTCCGAGGATGGAAATTACGTCATCGCGGTGCGGTTTCTGCGAAGGTTGCCGCAATAACAGCCAGGGTTCTCTATTATGCCCTGCATCAAACTTTGCATTGGTGCATTTTGTTGGCAGTCTCATTCTAGCGGCGAGCGCCGTGCTACCAAGTCATATCTGGATTACCATCTACAACCAACTATCAGGTTTGCTAGACCGCTCCCGTCGCTTCTGCGCATGAGTACATCATAGACCGAGTCTCGACTCGGATATAGGGAAGGGTCACCGCCATTGTACAGTGTATCCTCAAATCGATATCAGTGTCCCGCACGACGTCATTCGCCAACGCACCATCGGACTGGTGGACCCAGTGGACTGGAGCCTTCTAGTGCACACTTCCATTGGGCTGGTTAGATGCCTGGCATGTGGGATATGATAGGCTCATGGTATTCGATGGTATTCGATGTCGTCATAGGTATTTCACATACTGACACGTCCCGGAATCGATTGAAGTCGTCACGAGTTGGCGCTGAAGAAGGAATCATATCTGGTGACGTACGATCACAGAACGCCGACATATCAGGGCTCCAGCACTCAGTTTCCATGGGTCAATGGCATCACTGGGCTTCAAGATATATGTGACCCGTACCCATTGCACAGGAGTTCAAGTTCGGTACCCGACTCGGCCCACCCAAAATAGAAAAATAACCACATAGATAGGGTCGAATGCCAACACAACGGAAACTTGAGTATCGATAGCACAGCTTGGGAATAGGTGTCCCACAGTGATATACTTTGCTGATACACGAGTTTAATATCTACGCGTTTGATGTTACTGGCGCGACATTATAGACACCACACCCCTTCACAATTTGACATTGAATCTGAATTCATGGTCAGAACATCTGTTATTCAGTTTTCGGGATTATTTGGTGCTATTATGCTGCGGCTTGGCGCTGGATGATGACATCTTTCAATCTCTGACTACTACATTGACGAATGTTCAATCCACGACAATATGGCACCACCCAGGCCTCCGCAATTGCGAAACGGGTACACCAGGAAGACCTCCAACCAAATGAATCCGCAAATAGTCGTCGGCAGACTCTACCGCCTAAGATAGCTCCTACAATGCCGATGAGTATGCGTCGTGGTGATGGATATAGTGGAACAGGGGGTCCTGCTGCGAGGGGCATTCCGGGGCATCTGAGAAACCGTAGTGCGTGGAATTCAGTAGTTGATCCTGATGGACAGAAATTTGATGATAGCATGTGGTTGGTTTAGGCTCATATGTTGGTGAAAGGTCGCGTCTGAGTTGCGTCCAGGCCTCGTCGTCTTCGGGTTCCTCCTTCAAGGCTCCTTCAAGGAGAAATCCTGCCGCAGGGCCAGAAGCTGAGCATAGAGGCGCAACGTACCTTCTTACTCAGCGCCCTTTGATGCATCCACGTTTGACAAACCCTCAATTCACGTTACCAATTCATTATTCCGATGGGAATTCATCTATGCCCCGTAACCCACACCCCCCCAAACGCAGAAAAGTTAACAATCCATTCTCTGAGTCCGGTCATACACAAGAACCAGCATCACCTGTGCCCAGCCCAGATGGATTTGTTAGAGGCCCACCACGTTTGGGTAATGCAAAGAATGTTTTTAGGCCATTACCAGTAACGCTGCAATACCAGGGAACATCCACTCCTGTGCTTCGCTTCGAGGAACGAGAGCAAGGAGCCCCTCCGTCGGTGGCTTTGGACTCTGTAACTGGACGAACATCTCTTGACCGTTCTACCCCGGCGTCACGAAATCCATCCAGCGTACACCGTCAGACTCCAACGCCGAACCCAACCGTGCGGCGCGCAGTCCCTCTGCCCCCTGCTCGTCTGAAGCAGGAACAAGCGGGAGGTCGATTGCCCGTCGTCAATCCTTCTACCACATCTATCCGACCACGTAGCTCTTCAACATATCTTGCGGCCAGGAAAGATGCCCCTGATAGCTCCGGTGCAAAACAGCAGGAATCAATCGAACCGCCGGTGTTCCCGGTTGTGGGTACCACCACGTCCCTTAAAGATGAACCAAAACTGGATTCACTGCCATCTTTGGACTTGCCACTACCTCCAAAACCTAGATCGTGCGAAGCACGCTTCATACCTGCTGCCCAGGTTAAGACCGAGGGCTCCAACATACAATATCTAGCTGCGGATTCCGTTGGTTCTGCTAAGGATGCTAAGACCTCACCC